TCTTTAGGAACGCTATTTTAGTGACGTATTTTAAAAATACAAAAAATTATATACTTCAGCAGCACTTTAAAAAAATGTAGTCTATGATAGCATTAAGTAACAATTTTATGGGTTTGAAAAAATTTGGTGTTGCCATTGCCATAAAATGTTGTAGTGCACCTTTCACTGGTCTTCTCATAATAATTCCACCTTTAAATAATCCCAAAATAATCCAACATTTGCACCTCATCTTCTTTCATTGGACCCTGACCAAGTTTTTTACCTTTTTTAAAAATCTTATATAAATAATCTCACATTTATAAGGATATAATTAAAAAGTGAAAGGTGAGATTATTTGTATAATTTTCAAAGAAAGACTAAAAAACATGGTCAGGGTCCAATGAAAGAAGATGAGGTGCAAAGGTGAGATTATTTTGGGATTATTTAAAGGTGGGATTATTATGAGAAGACCAGGTGGGATTATTCTTGTCAATTTTTTCTTTATTTTATTTATATGATTGCAAGCACGGGAGAAGCAAAGCAAAGCTCTTCAAACAATGCATCCAATTTCCAGGACTTACAGCATTTAATTTATTTTATTTTTATCATCACTACCATTTTGATCTTTTGGTCCTGTGCCGGTTATGCACTACGGTTGTGCCCTTTGAGGCCACCACACAATGTGGTGGTGTCCAGTCCAGCTGACTAAGTGGCTAGCTCAGTAGATAACTGGGCGTTCACTGCTAGCCCGATCGAGGATGATGACCTTGGCTACTTAACCTTGATCAACGAGATGGAGATCAAGTGGAACTTCCATACCAACGTATGGGGGATCGAAGCTGTTCCACCGTGATGCCCAGCACCCGGGGGAACATGTTTCCGATTTGGCGTGTATGATGACAATCGTGAGAAGCGGCAGTATTCGGTGGAGTGCCGGTGGATGGTCACCAATGAATTGATGGCACATTGTCTGGGTTCAATGAGGCCATACTAGTCATGACATAGAACATATAGCTACGGGATCATAAAACTTCAGTTCAATTGAATACATTCTAAATGAACACTGTTTTTTTTTAAATTTGTAGCGGTTTATTATCGATATTTAAAAATAACGATTCCTATCATTGTATTTTATACACATTCATCACGCTTGAACGTAACATAACGTAGCAATTCATATTTTTATATTTTAAAACTAGACCATTTCATTTTTCTAACTTTATTTTGTACGTTATGTCTCTTAATTGATTCTGTGTTTTTGTTCTTATTTTTTGTAATTATTTCATTTATACTTATCACTTTATTCCCATTTTCTATTTTTATTTATTTATTTATTTATTTTAAATTTACAACTTTTGTGTTTAAATGCTCTTGCTCTAAATAAAAGTTGAAGATACACTTGTTTTGTAATCAATATATATATATATATATATAAGAGGAACATTTTAAAAGCATACAAAGCACCACATTATCCTGTCATGTCATTATATAAACAATTATTTAGTTATTTTATACCTTTTGTGTTTATTAGATTCTATATTTGATTGGATATTGATATTGATATGGAAACAAAAGATCATAGAAATCCACCTTAATTAATTGAAATAATTACATAAATATGACCAAAATAAAAATGGTTTACAAAAATATGATTCATTACTAGAGTAGTAATGAAATCATAGTAATTTATGTTCAAGTTTTGAACTTTAGTTACCACAGCACTACGTTGTAGTAATGAATAGTCATATTTATGTAAATAAGTTTTATTTTAGTAATATTCTCGTAAAAAACACTAATTAATTTGGTAACTTTTTCAACACTTATTACTATAAGTATTTGATAAGTATTAAGTATACATATTTGTATATTCATGTATAGAATAGAATCTCTTAAAAAGAATACTTTTGATCAAGCAGCTTATTATATTTAAATATTTAATAAGGATGAAAATTGATATCATACATAAATATATGTATATATATATATATATATGTATATTTATTTTCAAAAGTAAATACTTTTAGCCTAGTCGATAAAGTATATATTAGTACAATTTAAATCTGACTTAACCTTTGAAATAGATTCCTAATCCAAATTAGGAAATCTTTATATGTTTACAAATTCCTAACTTTATTCAATAGAAAGTTTTTAGTTGGATTAATTTCAGTTTCAGACTAAATCAGACCAGATCAAACTTTTTTTTTTTTTTGCTGGTATCAAACTTTAATAATAATAATAATAATAAGTCACATAAAATGTAAAACAAGCATCTACCAGAACATATTAATTTAAACCAAATCAAACCTGTAATTTTAATTCAATTAAAAATGACCTATTTAATGAGTAAATTGTAAGATCTCACAATTAAAATTAAAAAATGTGGATTTCATACATACCAAGTTGAATGAGAAATTTTAGAAAAGTATTATTTTTGAAATGCTCAATAAAGCAATTTAGACATCCATAACAAAATAATGAGTAAAATGTAAAACAAAAAACTCCATTTTTCAACGTATACATAGGACAAAATAATGAGTAAAATGTTACATCTTATTATTAAAAGTTAAAAGTATGTACTCAGTATTTCATATCAAGTTGAATGAGGTGTATTACGAAAAAAACTTGAGGTGCATAACAAAGTAATTTAGGAGACATGAGATTATGACTGCTCTAAAATCGGATTCATAACAATTATTTTTACTTGAGATGCTTATGCAGCAGACCATTTTGACTATTTTTCATATTAACTTTTTATTTGTTTTACAAATTTAATATATTTTACATATTTTTTCATGATTCGGAAGATTCCGCCTATTCAGCCATTCAGCCAGAATTTAATCAATTTCAGCAAAATAAGCTATTGACCAATTTTAATTTAGTACGATCAAACGGATTCGATATTAGATTGAATTCATTTTGTTGTTGCATCACATTATATATGATCACGAAAAATCAAATTTAAAATTAGCTAAAATGCATACTGTCCGTGCATCGCACGGGCTTGAAAACTAGTAGTTACTAAGTACTAGTTACTATATAGACCAGTAAGATCACGTATATAATACTCCCTCCGTCTCATTGGACTTTGCCAACTTTATCTTTTTGGTTGCCCCAAAAAACTTTGTCACTTACCTATTAAAGCAACTAATTTGTTGTTCTGCACATTTCTCTCTCCTCTGCACAAATATCAATCAAACAGTTTTTACTATTCTTATTTCTCACTTACTTTGCACTTGACAAAGTCCATCGGGACGGAGGTAGACAGGTAGTAATATAAATATGTTTTTAAGGATATTTTACATTTATTATTTAAGGATCTATCCATAGTTCCATACTGTACTGTTCCAAGTTAATTAATTTAATTGACAGAACGGCATTTCTTCCTAATTTGTCCATCCCTTCCAGTAAGCACCCTGATATTCCCGAGCTTAATCATCGATTCCGGAAAGTCCATGTAAAAAGCGCCCGGATCACTACTGTATTGGTTAACCAGAGCTGCAGCTTGAGGATCCGTCATCAAAGCTTGATCCGACCCGAGAAGGGCCTTATTTCTCACAAGGTTAGTGAAATACGCGTTGTCGAAACCGTAGGCGGTCTGATAATCCAACGGAACGAGCTTCGGGTTTGACGCGTTCACGTTCGGGCAGCTGCTCTGCAGGCTTGACAGGAAGGCCGGGTCAAGTGACGGGTCTGGTTTTTTTGTGCCGCTATAGTTGAAGAGCCTTGCTTTGAATGTGAAACATTGAGCGTATCCAATGGTGTGGGCTCCTGTGAAATTCACATAAAAATTGGATAATTAACCAGATTTTGGGTCCCATTGCGTGTTTGGGCGCAACTTTGATCTTACCAGGTGGTTACATTAATATTTACCTATTATTATGTCTATTATGTTTTTACATCTAGTCTGGTCATTTTTGTATATTTTATAATTATTCAAGTCTAGTGTGATTTAATTTGATTTGTTTAAGTCTAGTGTCATTCGATTTGTTTAAATCTGGTTTGTTTTGATCTAGTCTAGTCTAGGACTGGAAACAGTTCAAAAGAAAACATTTGTATCCTTCTGATTACAATATGTCTCAAGCTTACAAGCTATTTTAGACACCGGAAATTAAGTTAAAAGATGTGTAATACTACCTCCATCCCGCTAGAAAGTTCTCATAACAAAACGACACGGTTATTTACGTGATATTTTGAGAAATAATTTTAATAGGTATATATTATAATGTGTTAGTATTGATAACTGTGATGTTATAAATGTATTATTTTTAATATTTAATGACTAATTTGTCACTTAAGATTGTTAATTGTTTCCTAAAATGGAAATGAGAACCTTCTAATGTGACGTCCAAAAAGGGAAAGTGAGAACCTTCTAACGGGATGAAGGGAGTAACAATTATTCGCGTGAAAAGTTTTAGACAAGTTTTAATTATTCGTGTAACAAATTTCATGTAAAGAATTATCTAAAATATTTTTGTATCAAAATATTTAATATTGTTTGATCAGAATATCTAAAAGAATTAGCTATGCTCCTGTTAATTTAATATTGTTTGATCAAAATATCAAATGTTGATTTTCTCGAATTCAGGCCTGCTTCAACTTATGTTCAATGTTAATTTTACACACATCAGTACTAAAATCAACAAAAGAAATTAACAATTTTAAAAGTTTGAGACAAAGGTTTTTAATTTATTAGAATTGCTATTGAGTATAGATATGAAATTTATAAGATATAATTGCCACGAAAATTTAATGTGATTTAGAGGTTTTTCCCTAAACGAAATACTTGAGTCAAATATACTACATCCGCAATCCATAATGTAATATACTCCAAAAAGTAAGACAGAGTAAGACGGAATCACAAAAAGTAAATGTGAAATGATAGACAAATGGATAAAGTGAGAAAATAAAATGTTAATGAAGTTCAATTTAACAAATTAAAGTGATCATATTTACGTGCCTGATCATGCAACTCCCCAAAAAAATTAGTAACGCAATTATTTGATTGGCTTAATTAATTTGTACCTGAAAGAACAACCATATCTTTGGTATCAAGACCCTGGGCTAAAAATTTAGTCTTGATATCTTGGAAGCTCTCCAATGGTGAGGGTAAGCTTTTAGTTGCTGCCTCACTGGCAGTTAACCCGTCTCGCCTCCCTAGTGGTGCGCTCCACATTTCTGATCGACCCCCCATGTACTAAAATGTGACAAATGGAAAAAAGTAAAGTTTGTAGATGTTTTGTTTTGAACGGTAGTTTGGTGGTCTGGTTTCCGCAATGACCCGCCCTGGTCCGAGATATTTGGGGCGGGTCCGCCCCGCCCCGTCTTGCAAATGTGGCGGGTCCACCCCGCCCTGCCCATACAATGGGGCGGGTCCGGGTCTTAATATTGATCCGTGCCGCCCCGCCCCGCCCCGCCCCGCCCAGCCCCGCTCAATATATAAATGTACATTTTTAAAAAAAAAAGTATACTACAAATATTTGTATTTGAATGAGACGAATGTAGAATTATCAATGTCTTTTATACGAAGTGTATTTAATTATTAATATAAATAGATCAACTCTTCAATTCGAAGTGTTTTTTCTTAATTTTTAAAATTTTAAATGTATTGTGTCTTTGATTTAATATATTATTTTTTAATAATTATTTAGAGATAAACTTTATGTAGATTCGAGTGGTAACAAAACTTCACACAAATAGAAATGCATGTTAGCTAATTAGGTTACAACGGGGCGGGGAGGACTCGCCGCGCATGGGGCGGCTCATGGGTCAACAAGCTTGAACCCGTGTGGGTCACGTGGCGGGTCCACCCAGTGAAGTCATGGAGCGGGTCCGAGTCTTGCACTACCCGCCCCACCTAACCCATTGCCATGCCTATGTTCTGGTCTGGTAAATGTCTGCTTTATATATATGTATTTTATAACTGTTCAACACTAATCTGATCTGGTTTGGTTTGTTTAAGTTTGTGACTTTGTTCTGGTCTGATCTGATCTGCTCTGTATGTTCTGGGACTGAAAACAGACCAATTAAAAACATCCTTAGTTACTCCTATTTTGAGGTGACGGAAATAGCAGATTACAATGTTTTTACTGTGAGAGAATAATTGAGAGTAAAGAATGGCTTACCCTCTTGGGAGCCCTAGCATCATATTTATAATAATAATTAGGGAGAGTATTTTCACAATATCTCTATAATATTCTATTACACCCCCTCAATCTGTGCAGGGGAAATCACGTGCAGATTGGAACGTAAAAATTCAAAACGTTGACTGCTTAAATTCTTAGTGAAGATATCTGCAAGCTGATACTGAGTCGGAATATATTTGACAGATAAATCGCCGTGAGCAACCCGTTCTCTAACAAAGTGGTAGTCTATCTTGATGTGTTTGCTACGGTCGTGCTGAATAGGGTTAACGGCAAGATAAGAAGCAGACACATTATCACAAAAGAGCTGAACTGGTGTGGTGATATAAATGCCCATGTCAGCCAGTAGAGAGCGAATAAACAAAGTGTCTTGCACAGTGTACGCAACCGCACGATACTCTGCTTCAGTAGAGGATTTTGATACCGTGGGTTGTTTCTTTGACCGCCAAGAGATTAAATTCCCACCAATAAAAATCGCATAACCAGTGGTGGATCTGCAGCTATCCGGACAACCTGCCCAATCAGCATCTGAATATGCCACGATGACAGAGATGCTTTGGCCTGAGCGAAGCCATAAACCGTGCGTCGTTGTGCCCTGTAGGTACCTGTATATTCTTTTAACAGCTGCAAGGTGAGTAGTACGAGGTGCATGCATAAACTGAGAGACCAAATGTACGGCATAAGTAATATCAGGACGAGTAATAGTCAAGTATTGCAAGGCACCTACCATACTGCGATACTCAGTACCATCGCTTAAAAGATCTCCATCAGAGAGAGACAAAGTAGTACGGGAAGGAAGTGGTGTACGGACTGGTTTAACGGTATGGAGGTGGAAACGCTGTAATAAATCAGTGACATATTTTTGCTGAGACAAAAACAGGCCTTTGGGCGTGCGAACAGCTTGAATACCAAGAAAGTAGTGTATATCCCCCAAGTCTTTCATAGCAAATTGACTAGATAAAAGATGAATAAAGTTGCGAACCAGAGAGGGGGAACTACCAGTAATCAGGATATCATCCACATATAACAGTATATAAATGGTGTGAGACTGATATCGATAGGTACGTAAACATAGAAGAATCAGACTGACTTTGTCGGAAAGCATGGGAGAGTAAAAATCCACTAAATCGATGAAACCAGGCACGTGGTGCTTGCTTAAGGCCATACAATGCCTTTCGCAAACGACAAATATGAGAGGGATAAGAGGGGTGAACAAAACCTGGCGGCTGACGCATGTATACTTCCTCTGTAAGGTGACCATGAAGGAAGGCATTTTTGACATCAAGTTGACGGACTGACCAACCCAAGGAAAGAGCGACTGATAAAACAAGGCGTACCGTGGTTGGTTTGACCACAGGACTAAAAGTCTCAGAGAAATCTACCCCAGCTTGTTGGTTAAATCCTTGGGCTACTAATCTAGCTTTGTGGCGCTCAACAGACCCATCAGATCGGTATTTAGTCTTGTAGATCCATTTACACCCAACAACATTTTTGCTCTTATCACAAGGTACTAAATCCCAAGTTTTATTGGCAATGAGAGCATTAAATTCCTCTGCCATGGCAGCCCGCCATATTAAATTTTTATTAGCTTGGGAAAAACATGTGGGATCATTAGAAAGGGCTAAAGTGTTTAAAGTAAAAATCTGTTTTGGTTTAAAAATACCATCTTTAGCCCTTGTTTGCATTGGATGGACATTGGGAGCCACAGGTTTAGGGAGAGGAGACGTAGTTGGGGAGAGGTGGTCGCGGCTAGGAGTGGTGGGTGGAGAGCCAGTAGGCGTACTAGGAGTATGGCTGGGAGTAGGGCTGGGAGTTTGGCCGTGAGGGCTGCTGGTAGAAGGGCTGGGGTTATTATGGTTGAAGTCTGGGGGAAAGTGAGGACTATATGGAGAGGAAGGTGTGTTGGGATGACTGGTGTGTGCAGTGATTGGTGTAGAAGGAGAGGAATGTGGAGAGGATACTGGTTGTGTGGTTGTGATAGGTGGGGTGGCCGAGACCAAAGAAGACGGAGGTAAAGGTCCAGGTGAGGAGTCTACGGTGCGGGTGAGGGTCCAAGACGGGAGAATATGCGATGTAGTAGAGGTACGGGTCTTAAGGAGAGTAGAATATGGGAAGGAGGATTCATGAAAAATGACATCTCTGCTTACATAGACTCGACCCGTACGAGGGTCAAGGCAACGATAGCCTTTGTACCCCGGTGCGTAACCCAGAAAAACACAAATAATGGATCGTGGGGATAATTTATTTGAAGAACTAGCAATGATATTAGGAAAGCATGCACAACCAAACACTCGCAAAAAATGATAGTCAGGGAGTTTATGAAACAGAAGCTCAAACGGAGAGACCCCACGCAAATTGGGAGTGGGCAAACGGTTAACAATAAACACTGCAGTATAGAGTGCATCTACCCAAAAAATAGGAGGAAGATTAGCCTCTATAAGCATAGTACGAGAAAGTTCTAATAAGTGTCTATGTTTACGTTCAGCGACCCCATTTTGCGCCGGTGTATCCGGACAAGATTTTCTAAAAAGAATTCCACATTTATTAAAATGATTAATGAAGTTAGAGTTAACAAATTCTCCTCCACCATCACTCTGAAAGCACTTAATTTTGCAATTAAATAAATTTTCAACAAGGGTTTGAAAGTTGCAAAAATGGGTAAAGACTTCAGACTTCCTATGCATAGGATACACCCAAGTAAAACGGGAAAAGTCATCAATAAAGGAAACATAATATTTAAAACCCAAATTAGATATCACAGGCGATTGCCAAACATCTGAATGAATAAGCTGTAGTGGAGCAGTAAAATCATGAGTAGCATCAGTGAAAGGAAGTCTGTGGGACTTGCCCAGTTTACAAGAGACACAATCATGTGAAAAAGTACTAGTACTAGTAATAAAATTATTTTTCCTAAGAGACAATAAAACACGATCCCCACAATGACCAAGACGTTTGTGCCAGACCGGACCAGGAACAAGTGCAGTCTTTAAAGCGAGAGATGGGGTAGGCTCATAAGCTGCTCTAAAGGGATAGACAGATTCTTTATTGGAAGCTTGGAGGAGTGTGGCTCCCGTTCGATGGTCCTTAACATAAAAAGAATTTTTATTAAAAATAACAGAACAATCATTATCCGCACATAAACGTTGAATAGATAACAAATTATATTTAATGTGCGGAACATGATAGACTGATTTTAATAATAACGGGCGTGCAGCAGTGGTTAAGGTGACATTGCCAATGTGTGAAACAGGGAGATTTTTACCATTTGCAACTTGAACAGAAAATGAGCCAGTGTAAGGAGATTTACTGGATAAAATACCTTCATGTGGTGTCATATGAGCTGATGCTCCAGAATCTGGGTACCACACAGAAGCATTGTTTTCACCGGTAGGAATAGCCGCCAATGCTGGAGTAGGATGAGCAATCCGAGAGCAGGCAAGAGCAGAGTGACCTGGGGCAAAACAAATTTGACATACAACCGGCGGGGAAGGTGACTGATAATTGTTCTCATTAGATGGAAATCCTGTAAAAAATGGGTGAGTACTACAAGATGATAAAACCTTAATACAAGAATAACCATCACTAACATTACCATACGCCGTACCTTGGAATCCAGCCGGAGCATGCCCACGAACCTGGTAAGGAGCTGCTGGCAGTCCACCGTGTTGCTGCCCTGCAAACTGTCCAGCCGGCTGCACATAAGCTGGAGCACCTCCCTGCTGCTGACCTCCATATCCGCGGCCACGCCCCCGGTGTCCACGACCTCGGCCACCACCCCGATAGCCCCGGCCCCCATTACCGCGAGCTTGGGCACCCCCTCGACCCTGGGGTCTGACAGCAGCAGCAGCATCATAGGCTGCAAATGCCTGATGACCTGGAGCAGCGGCCTGAGAACGGAGATAAAGTGCGCGTTGTTCCAGCGCCATGAGTTGCGGGCGAAGGGACTCAAAAGTGAAGCTATCCGGGAAAAGGGTAACGGAGGTAATGACTGATTCATACTCAGGTCCAAGGCCTTGAATCATGGACTGAATGAGCTCACGATTACTAACAGGCGAATTAATAGTATTAAGGGCATCGGTTAAAACTATTACTTCTCGTAAGTAATCATCCATGGATTGATCCTCTTTCTTCTTAAGGGCAGACAAAAGCCTCCTAAGCTCTATGCCTCTAGCTATGCTTGCGGCCATAAAACGGGTTTCCAACCGTTCCCATATTAAGGCAGAAAATCGAACAGTGTGAACTTCAATTAAAATATTACGGGAGAGGGTTGCAAACAACCATGATCGCACAGTTTGGTCAATTTTAAGCCATGAACTATATTCAGGACTGGAAGACACTGGTGCAACAATCGAACCATCAATGATACCCAGTAAACCATGTGAAACTAAAAACGACTCAAACTGTGTCCGCCAAGGTAAATAATCCTCTACTTTATCCAACCGTGTGGTAACAATATTGGTAACATTAGGGGTTGAAAAAGTTAATTGAGAGGCTAGAGAGGACAACTGATTAGAAGTTACCGTGACAGAACCTGGTGGACGAGAGGAGGAGCCGAATTCATACTGCGAAGCCCCTGGTTGTCGCAGAAACGTCGGGCCAGAGAAGGGAATTGCAGCCGGAGGTATAGGACTTGGTAAGGGTGCGGCTGAGGCTGGAAAAACCGACGTGGGAGTAGTAGGAGTCCAGCTGAAAGGATCGGGCATATTGAAGAGGCGGTATGAGCCCAGCGGAGGTGGTGGCATAGCCATCCGTGCCGATGAAATATGTGGTGAGAGGGTGACTCCTGAAGAAGGCTGCTCCATGCTGTAAGCGGGCGCCGGAGATGAGACCACAGCTGCGGTGGTTTGGGGATGAAGGCCGATGACCTGCGGCTGAGTCGAAGAGGTGAACGCAGCTGAGGTGCTAGAGTCGGCCGACATATTGTCGTTAGGTTTGGGAACAGAAACCTAAGCTGCTGATACCATGTGAGAGAATAATTGAGAGTAAAGAATGGCTTACCCTCTTGGGAGCCCTAGCATCATATTTATAATAATAATTAGGGAGAGTATTTTCACAATATCTCTATAATATTCTATTATTTACCATAAAGATAAAGTAAAATTTATGTTAAATGGATAAAAAAGAAAATATAACAATAATGATTCGAAAAAAGTACGTAGTATATGTTAAATCATTACTCATTTTCTTTTATATATGATTCCATTTCATTATTTTCTTTTCAGACTATTGTAAGCCTTTTAATTGATACTCATTTTCATACAATGATTGTACAATAATAAAGATCGTAAAAAAAAGAACGCACCTCATCTCGGATGGTCTCTAGACTCGGCGGTAGAACAATTAGCTGATCAAAGAGTTCAATTGAAGCATAGTTATTAGAATGCTTTTAATAGAGTGTGAAGTTTGTAGTCAATGGTAAATCCACTTTATTCAAAGGTGTTCATGTAAACACCAACTTTTTTGAAAATAAAACAAAATGAGCCGTTTAATCACTCAAATTTTCAACTTATGTATGCGTTATGAAATGCGTAACTTTTGATTGCATATGTTGAGTTTTTAATAATCAAATACGGAGTACTAAATAAATCTTAATTTTTTTCGTAGTTCAACCGTTTCAGCTAGAATTTCACCAATTTTAATAGATTCAGTTAATTTCATTATTACTAAATAATGGGCTCTATATGGGTAGAATTAATGAAATTTACACTTGCGGTCCTTTTTACATGTTATTTCTAACTTTTAACCTTGCTTTCTAATTTTTTTTCTTGAGAAAGTTATACGAAGTACTACGGTATTTGTTGAACTATTGGATCATATCAAACAGTATTAATAACGAAACTTTTGCTAGGATTATTGTCCTTCAAATTCAGAAAAGGTGTGAATAAAAAAAAACTACATAAAAGGTATGAATAAAACTACATACTCGTATAATATAGCAGCATGCACCAAGTTCAGTTAAGAAACGAAGTACTAAGTTAATACTACGTATGATGTAGTACCATGGAAACAGCATTAACAGCTGCAAGCGTTAAAATGTCAGCGCAGGAAACAGTGGAAGGGCAAGCTTTCTCCAAATCTGCCTTTATACTATCAATGACCTCAAAACCTCTCAACGAATTGCGGTTTGGCGGGGCGTTCTTCTCTCCCTTCATATTCGTAGTGTCATCTAGAAGCACCGACCCATCACAACCCTGCAATACAGGGCCAAAATCCAAAATCCCGAAGGATCAAGGCAGATTCTTTCAACTTGATACGAGAAGTAATACAAGACCTTGGATAGGTAATAACGTCAAATTCTCTATTGAAGCGCGGAAACTAAATTAGAAATTGGTAAAAATTTGATGGAAAATAACATTTGTACACAAAATTAGTATACAAATTGTACACAACCCTCCTAGTTGCTTGTACACATGCAATTCATTTGAAAAGGGGCAGAATTTTATGCCAAAATGTGTGTGTACACAGACAGTGTACAATTTGGACACAAATTTTGTGCACAAAAAAAATTATCCAAATTTGATACTCAAAGTTGGAGGACAAAAATTTTAATGCCACCCAATGAGTAGCAAACTCGCAAAGTCAAGTTTACCAAATGGAGTGATTTATGTATAAGATGATAGATTACATTGACGAAGCAGTCATGGAAATGAAGACGGAGAAGAGACGCAGCCATTCGGGGGTCTTGCTTGATGGCTGACCAAACACCTGAGCTGACTATCATATGCAAGTGAGGGCATGACTGATCATAAAAATGATCATCAAGTTTTTGACACTCAGCCAGTTTGGGAGGTGACAGAAGCAAGATGACACAAATGAGTGTTGCTGGGAAGGTAAAAACATTGTCACTACCCATAACTTATATGGTTTTTGAATGAAGGAAATGAAAGAAATTCCTTTAACTATGGGATTTAGTTTAATTAGAGACTTATTTGGCAGCAATTTATACACAAAAGATCAATTGTGGAGACAAGTTTTATTGGAGTGGGAGTGGCACTAATGCAATATTGCATGTATTTTTACTAATATACATATGAGAGTAATGGACTACTTAAACTCTTAAAGTCATCCACTTAAACATTTCTATAGTTTTTACCCACTGTTGAGTTATGACTTTAGAGTGCTTAATTAATTTATTAATGGGCAAGGCACAAATAATGATAATTAATTGCGATGATCGATAAGTTAATTTGTGTGTCAGCCGCACAATGAAGTGCTCATCAAGTAGGACTTAATTACACATTTATACGAAATATATTGACATGTTTTTTACCCAGCACAAATAGTGTAAGACTGTAAGTAGACTTTAAACTTCCAAAAGTTTAGATTTTATTTATGCTCGATTTGATTTTAAATATTAACTTTCACTTTAAGTAAAGTTTGTGAAAAACCAAAAACGAAAGAGCCTTAGAGTAATATTACGTAGGCATGGACCTGACAGTCCGGCTCGGCCCGGATCCATGCATAATATTACGGTTTTTTTTGGAAGAAGGGGGCTTAGATTGATGTCACAACATTCAGATAGGGGTTAAAATAACAAAAGAATCACATGCAACCATCAGCCTTGAACCAGACTCAGAGTTTATCACCTTTGACAAAGCAATATAACTCGTTGATCCTAACTTGGGCATAATTGAGCCAAAGACGGTCACCGCAAACTTCTCGTCACCCAATCCTAATGCAAGAGTCTTAGAGCAAAAAATATAATAAAAATAAATGACAAAAGTCTTAACCTGGAAATTAAAGTGCAAAATAGGAAAAAAATACCAGTCGCACGTCCGGCGGGTTTAGAAGCCTAGACCCGCCGCCTCCCCGTTTTTTGGTCTTTCCAGGGACATGCTCCAGCCTCCTTCTTCATCGAAATTCAGTTCGTTGTCCTCCTCTTCAATAACCATTTGCTTGTAATGATTCACAACAACCTCCATCAAAGCCTTCGGAGTGTTGACGAAACCACTGCCCTGCGGTCGATTTGGAAGCGTCGAGACTTCAGCCTTGCTGACTCAATTCCGCAGCACTCTGTCTACACACCTGCGTCAAACGAAGATCGCGAAATAGACATGGATTATCCATCAAGAGTGGCGACCTTTCTTCAGCATTGCCGAAAACGGAAAACAAAAACTACTCTAGTGGCTAAAGCTCTAGAGAGAGAAAGTAGGGTTACGGTAGAAGTTGTTGCATAACATTACGAAATGATATACTCCCTCCGCCGGCCCCCCAATTAAGTTCCCACTTTCCTTTTTGGGCAGTCCCTAAATTAAGTTCACACTTCAATACTTTCCTTATTTGACAAATTATCTATATCAAAACAGTGCCAAACAGTGTCAAACAGTGTTTAAACAGTGCTAAACAGTGCACTCCACAGTAAATTCAAATTTATATTTATAAGAAAAATGCTAAAGGTACCCCAATTGGTACCCCAATTTGTACCCCATCCTATTTTTGTGGCTCACAAAAGCACATCATTAAAGTGGAGCAATTCATTTATTGAGGTGGGCTTTTGTGAGCCACAAAAATAGGTTGTAGGTTGGGGTACAAATTGGGGTACCTATAGGAGAGTTGTTTTTATAATATGTGTGAAGTCAAACCAGGAACTTAATTGGGGGATGGAGGAAGTATATGATTTCATTGGAAAATCAAATGGTTCATGCATGTGGACATGTGGTCGGTGATTATACATTTTTATGATGGGATAATTACATACTCTGTATTATTCACTCCATTAACAATAAGCGGACATAGTGAAACCAAGTAAAATCCATGTGACTCCATATACAGTGACGTCATATATCGGCCCTTAAATCTTTTGAGGGTTTATAGAACATAATAGATGACGATTCTTAACTCTAAGAACTCTTACATTAATTCACTTGATTGAAATGAAAAGTTATTTATAGTTATACATGATTCTCTTTGGTTGAAGGGTGTGAAAAATTGGGTCTTTTGGCAGCTTTAAAATCAGAGTTGTGGAATTCCTAAATCGGAGTTGTGGAATTCCTAAGTGCTTCCTTTAGTCCCTTACATATTTGGTAGGGGTGGAATTTTGGAACCGGGAACCGTAGAACCGATTGGAACCGAACCGTTAACAACATCTGGGAACCAAACCGTTAACAATTAATGCCTCATTTGTAGGAACCGAACCAAAGCGGGTTATAACGGTTCGGTTCCCGGTTCCTATAAAAAATATGTGCATGGAACCGTTAAGGAACCGTTATTAAAAAAATAAAAAATAAAATAATATTAGTAGTAGTAACAATAACAATAATAATATAATAGCAATAATAACCACCACAACAACAACAATAATAAAATAATATAAGATATTTAACTAACAATTCTAATTTAATCAACGGAAAAGAAGTAATAAATATTGTACATGAGGTTGATATATACATTAAACTCCTTTCTACAAATCAAGTTTTGTTCCATCACATAAATTTTATAAATATAAAATAACCCAAATAACTTGTAGTTGATTGCACATATTTTACTTTACTATTTTTATAATATTTCTAATTATTAGATTTATTATCAATCAATAGAATGTGATAATATTTTTTATATCTATACATGCAAACTCAATGTCTTTTTTTTAATGTTTTGAAAGACTTGAAGTAGACGTCATATTCTTGCTACTATGATGACAAGTAACCTTCATCGCTCCGACACTACAACGATTTTTAATGTTTCATTTATTACATGAAAATTTAAATCACTTTTGTTCTATTAAGTGTTCAAAGTTCATTAGTTAAGTTTGAGCTTTAATGTTTGAAGTAATTAGAGCTTCAAATAAAATTTTAATACTCGTGTTTTGAATTTTTGACGTGTTTAAAATTATGTGTTAATTCTTAGACGAGAAAAAATTATTCTAGGAACCGGTAAAAGGAAGAACCGAACCGTTTACTACCGGTTCGGTTCCATAACGGTTCCTAATTTTTTTATATAGGAACCGAACCGATTTCATTAGTTAAAACTTTTATAACGGTTCCACTCATTTTGAGTAAGAACCGAACCGGTTCCAGCCCTAATATTTGGAGTTTTGTTTCGTGTAGACACCCGGTTACACACCCACGTACATACCAAAATATAATTGTTTGTGCACAGACAATTACGCTTCAATTTATTAAAGAGAAGTGTATGTGATCCCAAATTGTGTGTGCATATACAATTTTGGAGTCACAAACAATTCACTTCACTTTACAGATTGAAAGTCATGACTTGACTAGCTTCATTTTGAGAAGTGGAAATCAATAATGCCCACCCCATTAGGTATAAAAATCGAATAATTACTACTACATCAGATGTATGACTAGAGTTTTGATCGTCACAAACATGCCATTTTTCCTTCGACCTTTTCAGAAGAATCGTATGTGCTTAGATCAATTGTTCCCTAGAATTTAATCAAGCTCTTTATGAAGTTGTCCTTTAATAGCAAGTAGACATTTCATTATGTTAAATTGTTAATGTTGTTCGTGCATTGTTATATTGTTAATATATGATGTGTTTCGATCAGTAAATCAGTAATTATTACTCTACTATTATTTTGCGATCTTCAACATAGAAAGAAATTGGGCTTGAAGTGTATCCTGTCTCGGTTCAAAACCTATTTCGTGGAATTCGAAGAAACAAAAGACTATGAATTTATCCTCAGCAAAAACAGAGTAGATTGCAGCATATGAGTAGGAATGTTTTTTGTTGGATTGTTTTCATTCCCATACCACACACACCAGATCAGACTTAAACAGATCAGATCAAATCATATCAGACTTCCATAATTATAAAACATACAAGATTAAAACAGACCAGATCATATCAGACTAGCAAATTCCATAATATTCCAAGTAAAAACATCCTAATATTGAGATGAGTAAAACTGAATTAAATCCTTCAATCATGAAAATTAACTTATGCATATTACTTTGTTAAATCGAATACTTAACTTATTTATTCTAAGAGAAACATAATTAAAATACCCCAAACTTTGAAGGGTATGTGAGACAACATCCAAACTTGTATATGTAATTTCAATACCCAAACTTTATATAAAAAGTTATTTTAGTACTATAATCCAGTATTATTTCTTTCAAAAATTTAAATTTATGGTGTTACTTGCATAACTTAAAATATTTTACAATTCATAAAGACACAATTGACATTCTAAACTTCCATTTCGAATTAAATAATGTTACCTCAATCTAACAATTTACAAACTGGTTTTACAACTTCTAAAGCCTAAAATGTGAATGGACTTCACATATTTACATAATATTAAGTATGTTATTACGGAGTATGTTTTATTAAGAAATCACAACGTATTTAGTGGCCAAAAATATTGGAGTGCATGCTACTCTTCAAAAGGGGCAAAGAAGAAGCGTACACGGTGCATAAATTTGATGTACGGATTTTTTTTATCCGTTAAACTTTTACGTAGTATCGAACATCCATTTGTTGATTATACGCATCGATTTTGTTGACAACAAGAAAAAGTTAAGTCGGGCGATAATTGCAATATCATTGGCTAGCTAACATCATAATTGTTGCAAAGAAGAAAGGACTCGGAGACTCGGAGTTGATTCTTAGTACACTCTAAAGGCTGGTTTGCAACCACTTTAAAAAAAGCACTTCTCAGCTTTTGGCTTAAAAAAACACTTATTTACCAAACACTACCAATTTTTTATTTTTCTCGGCTTTCGTGTCAAAAGTGCTTTTCCACTTTTTATACACCAAAAGCACTTATTTTACCAAACACTACCAACTTTTACTTTTCAAAATCACTTTTTTCTCAAACACTATCAACTTTTACAAATAATCACTTTTTCCAAATCACTCCAAAAGTGCTTTTTTTAAAGCGGAAGCTGTTGCAAACACTCCCTAATAGTAATAGGGAAACGATTGCTTCAAAGGCAGAACTCAAGTGGTTCCAAAGTTGGTGTTCTTGTGAACCCTCAAAATTTAGATTTGAAGTAAAAAAAATACATGTATGATACTTCTT